GGGTTCCGCGCATGCTACGCTACACCTAAATAATCCTCTGCGCAGGTTCGAAGGATAAACCCGCTTTTGTAAAGCCCTGTAACAACAGACGAGAAATGGAACGGCAGCTGATAGGATGCACTGGAAGCTGCAGATCCAACTCTGCGTGCAGGCGGTTCAGGATATTAATTGCTTGAGATTGACTTCAGAGATAACGGTCGCTCGGCAACATCATGAACGACCAAGCCACTTTTCCCAAGGAAAGCACTGCTTGCTCCATAGGAGAAGGGCCTAGAAAAAGTGGCTTAAATAAAGCTCATCTCCATCTCCACCCGAATGGCTAACTGCAGCCAACGGATCAGCAGATGTTGTTGAACAAAGACAAAAAGACAAAGGCGTACACCTGTCCTCAAAGCTGTACACAAATTGACACTCGCGTACTGGAAAACATCAGAACCATGCTTGATAATGCGAACAGTAGACATCCTGAATGTCATTCTGCTCTAACTGCTTACGGACTATCACGACTCAACATCAACATTGCCGATCTTAGTGAAGTTCGTCTCTACAAGGACGATACCCCCAATGGACATGGCACCAGTTACACACTCTATTGGCAGGAAAAACCGAAAGTCACCTTTCAGGAGTTGGTTCACGATTAAAAACTCCATCGCCTCCAAACTCGAAAATCTGCTGACAGGTCATTCCGATCACGCCTCCCACTACACAACAAGCAACAAGTTGTTCTCTTCAATATATATGCCCCAACTCTGCAAGCTGCTTTATAGAAAACGACAAATTCTACACCAACCTGCGCTGTTTCCTCCAAAAGGTTCCCGCAGATAATGATTTCATAATCTTTGATGACTTCAACATCAGAGTTGGAAGGAACTCTGAAGACTGGAAAGGAGTATTAAACAAGCATGGTAGTGGAAACTACAATGACAATGGACGACTCCGGCTAGAATTCTGTGCAGAGCAGCAACTTACCATCACAAACACTATCTTTCAACAGACAGACAGTTTAAAGACAAACCTGGATGCATTCTCGACCCTGTCGGCAGATCTT